TTGTGAGAGGGTTTGAAGAAGTTCTTCATTGGTGATAGGAGAGTTAAGAGAATGATACCAGTTTGGGTTGATGTGAGAGAGTGGAAGGTATTGTTGTTTTCAGAAGTAACTATTTATTTAACTTAATAATATATTTACAAATTCTAAATATAAATCTTTTTTTTATTACACTTATACTAAATAGTATTTAAATATAATAGCTAAAAATAATAATATCAATAACTCTAATCTTAAAAACACTCTTCAAAATGCTTTTACTAAAATCACTGATCCATATACTTTTACTTAAATAATAGTATATTTTGATATTATATAATTCTCTAATATTCTAATTTCTGAACTTCAATTTAAATACTATTAATTTTACTTATTACAAGCAATGCAATATATCTTTAAAAAACTTAATATACCAAAAATCTCTACAAATCTTTTTCTTTCTTAATTTAAAGTACCAAAAATACTAAACTCACTTTTTCTTTTAAATCCTTAATTAGTACTATTTTTTTAAAAAAATTCTTTAAAATCTAATTTCAAATAATAACAATATTAACAAACTTTATTTTATTTTTATAAAATAATTATTATATCAATTACAATTTTTTTAATCTTATAATCTTACTTTTTTTTTTTTTTGATGTAAAGATGACGTCTTTGGTCTTTTGACTTTTATTAATGACTTTTTGGTAATGTGATTCGATGAATCACTACAGGAGAGCATACAATTAGCTACATGTGTAACTTTTCTATATTACCTACTCACATAAGAATAATTCTCTAGAGAGTTGAGTAATGAAATTAACTTAAAAAAATACTTAGCTATTTCTGTTATTCTCTTTATCGCCACATCAGCTAATGCATGTTGCCATCTTTGATTCTCTTTGGTTTCACAAATTGCTAATTGACTTTCATGATACTTATTAGCGAGAGAATTAAAGAGGCAAGGTAAGGTTTTGGCGTCTACTTTCGAACTCATTGCTAATTAGTGTGTAATGAAGCGTTAATTTTAAACTTAATTTAAAAAAAAACTGGTCTATAAAGTCGCGTGGATCCTTGTGGATTCTGAAACTACTTATTCTAAAATATGTATTTCGATAGTTAAATTTGGATTATTCTAGAATCGATCTACAAATTATGAAATACCCCTGACTGAAATTTGGGAAAGATTGAATAATCGTGATTGCAATATTATCAACCAATCACATAAATAAAAAAAATCGAATTTTCAAAAAATCAAGAATGGATACTAAAGAACACAAAGCTCATAGACCACGCCAATCTGGCGCAAAGAAAGATAAAAAAATACAGAAACAGCAAAAAATAAAGGAAAAAAATCCAAAGGTATTTGAAGCAAGTATCACATGTAAATTATATCTTTACCGATTAACTGCTTTTTGAATTTAGGCCTTCGCACCAGTATCTGGAAGAAAAGCTGAAAAACTTGCAAGGCGCAAACAAGAATTAATCCAAAAGAAGCTCCATGTTCCACTCGTAGATCGAACACCAGTGGAGCCACCTCCGATTATTGTTTCGGTGGTTGGTCCACCTCAAGTATGCTTCATATATGAAGTCTGCAGACAAATTGTACACTATCCATATATTTTTAAACTAAAAAATAATACCATATTGAAAATTATTAGACTGGCAAGTCGACGTTAATAAAATCCCTTGTAAAACGATATACTAAGCACAATCTTACAGAAATAAAGGGACCTATCACGGTCGTCAGTGGTAATTATTATAAACCTTTTTTTACCATAATTTGCATCACTCTTACACTTTCCTGTTATGGAACCTTGTTAACATATTGAAGGCAAGAAAAGGAGGATAACGTTTATCGAATGCACGAATGATATGAATAGCATGATCGATATCGCAAAAATAACAGATTTGGTGTTATTGTTGATTGACGCAAGTTTTGGATTTGAGATGGTAAGTGTGGAATTTAAAATTTTTTAATTTTAATCATAATTTAGTATTCTCTAAATGATTTATCCTAAATTCTTTATAGGAAACTTTTGAATTTTTGAACATACTGCAGGTTCATGGGTTTCCAAAAGTGATGGGAGTCCTTACACACCTGGACAAATTCAAAAATAATAAAACGTTAAAATCAACTAAAAAGCGGTTAAAGCATCGTTTCTGGACGGAGATTTATCAAGGTGCAAAGCTTTTTTATCTTTCCGGAATAATAAATGGTCGATATCCAAACCAGGAAATTCAAAATTTGTCAAGATTTATTTCTGTAATGAAATTTCGCCCTTTAATATGGAGAAATACACATCCGTATTTGGTTGCTGATCGCGTAGAGGATTTAACTGATCCCGAGGAAGTCCGGCAGAATCCAGTATGTGATCGTACTGTGACTTTATACGGATATCTGCGGGGAACAAACATGAAACCAAACATGAAGGTATTGCCCAAACTGGTATTTGTTATGAGTTTTTGCGTTCTTAATGCGGTTAAAAATATTGTCTGCTATAAAGGTACATATCCCCGGCGCTGGCGATCAATATTTGGCTGATATTTCAATTCTTCCCGATCCATGTCCATTACCTTATAAAGCTCGAAAGAGCTTAAGCGAAAAGCAAAAGCTCATTTATGCCCCAATGTCAGATGTCGGCGGGATTATGTATGACAAAGATGCAGTATATATTAACATTCCGGGGAGTTTTACAAAGACTGATGATAACGGAGGTTGTTGAAATGATAATTTGATTTACTTATATTTCAAGATTTTGAACATTTTTAACGCATGATATCCAACAGAATCCGATAAAGGGCCAGGTGAAAAGATGGTGATTAGTTTGCAAGATGCTTCAGATACACTTGCATCTAAATTACAAGAAGCATCACTTTCGATTTTTGCAAATTCTGTCCCTCTAAAAGCTTCTGATCTGAATGAAGAGCTGTACGATGGTATGAGATTACACAATAATAATGATATTATTATTATAATTTGTAGGTTTAATAATAATTTTTTAGTTTCCTCAGAATCGACTGATAATAACAAATTGCAACGTAATCGACGAAGAGCAATGTTTAATGATGAAAATGATGAAAATTATATGAGTAAAGAAAATTCATCGGTAGAAAACGATAGCGAGAGCGCTTTTCTTAATGACAATGATGTCAGAGATAACGATGATGATAATGATGTAAACGAAGATAATGAATTAAATGAATCTGATAGAAGAGCTGCACTGACCAAGTATGAAGTTAGAAATTCAGAAGGCAATGTCAATAAGGAAATTACATTTGTTGAAAGTGATGGTGATATAAGTTCTGAAAGTGATGAAGGGTCGGAGGATAGTGGGTCTGACCTTGACGGTGCATTAAGATGGAAATCCAATTTAACAAATAAAGCAGAAAATATGTTCATGGCAAATCGTAGAGTAAACATTATGCAATTAATTTATGGAGAAAGGACACCCGATGAAGTAGCATATAATAGTCTTTTAAATTCAGCTCAGGATACGATGAATAAAGATGATGAGGGCCCTCTTAAATCTGAAGAAGACTTCTTTAGACTTGCAAATAATGACGCTGGGGATATCAAGATTTTGAAAGCAATTGATTCTTCTAAATCATGCTTCAATATTGAAAGCCTTGATGGATGGGATGATGAAAGAGTTAGTATTTATAGTTTATGCATCCAGAGTAAATATTTAAAATCCAATAAACTGCACTATTTTTTTTTTTTTGCTTTAAAAAAAAACTATTAGATGCTTGAATCTATAAGAAATAGATTTATTACAGGAAGTCTTGAAGATGAAAATCCTAACGAGTTGAATAATTCAAGTGACAATGAAGATGATGAAGTATGTAGTGATTTTGAAGATCTTGAGACTGATGAAGTTATAAAAGCGATGCAATCAGAAGAAGCAAAAAAAGAACTTGAGCAAGAAATTCTTACTCAAAAAAGGATTTTGCTAAAGAAAAAGTTTGATGCAGAATATGATAACAATGATGATGAAACTAAAGTCGAATTTTATGATGAATTGAAAGAAGGAATTTCCAAGCAATTGCAGCTGAACCGTGAAGAGTTTGATGATGATGATCCACACACTAGAGTAATGGTTGAGGGTTTTCGCCCAGGAACTTATGTTCGAATTTTATTAAAAGGAATGCCTTGTGAATTTGTCAAATACTTTGATCCAGTGTACCCAGTAATTGTTGGAGGACTTCTAACTACCGAAGAAAATTTAGGATTTATTCAGGTTTTTGTCATATAATGAACATAATTCTTATTATTAACATTTGATACGAACATTTATTACAACTATATAACCATATTTTAGGTTCGCATCAAGCGTCACAGATGGCATAAAAAAATCTTAAAGAATAAGGACCCACTTATATTTTCTCTTGGTTGGAGACGTTTTCAATCGATACCCATTTATTCTTTGAATGATAACACGAGAAACAGAATGCTAAAATATACACCAGAACATATGCATTGTATAGCAACCATATATGGTATACATTATATATTATTTTAGGGTTGCCGAATTTTTATATCAAAATATTTTAAAGTCTGTTGTATATTTGATTTTTTGATTAGGACCTATTCACCCCCCAAATACCGGCCTTTGTGCGGTACAATCTGTGTCAAGAGACAATATAGTAAGCTCTTAATAGATTTGTCTTTATCATTTCGAATTGATCACATAATTTGTCAATATTTCTAACTAAATGCTTTTAGGCAGGGTTTCGCATAAGTGCTACTGGAACAGTTCTTGACATTAATCATTCGTTTGAAATTGTCAAAAAATTGAAACTTGTTGGTACACCTTACAAGATATTCAAAAATACTGCTTTCATAAAGGATATGTTTACTTCAGCATTGGAAGTAGCAAAATTCGAAGGTGCTGCAATCAGAACCGTGTCGGGCATTCGTGGGCAAGTAAAAAAAACATTATCGGTGAGTGGATACTGATCATCAATTATTTTCAAATGCTTTTTGCTAATTAATTTGCTTCATATAGAAGTCGGAAGGACATTTCAGAGCTACTTTTGAAGATAAAATTCTAATGAGCGGTAAGCAGATATCGAATTATTGATTAGATGATGTTTTTGTTTGACTAATTCACATCACATTAGATATTGTGTTTCTTCGAGCTTGGTATCCTGTTATGCCAAAGAAATTTTATAATCCTGTTACATCACTGCTGCTGTCGACGAAAACAAAGTGGCAGGGCATGCGTTTGACAGGTGAAATTCGAAAAGATTTAAATATTAAAACACCTATTAATCCCGAATCTCGATATCGAGTAAGTATTGCATGATTTATTTTAGCGTTTATATGGGACTGTATATTTTAATGTTATGACTTGATAATAGAAAATTGAACGGGCAAGTCGTCGCTTCAATCCGCTTCATATTTCAAAGTCATTGCAAGCTGGATTACCATTTGCCTCTAAGCCAAAATTGTTTAAAAAAAAGCGGTCTAAGCCGACATATATGCAAAAACGAGCCGTAGTTTTAGAGCCACGAGAGAAAAAAGTATATACACTTATGCAACAAATTCAAACATTAAAGAAAGAAAAGGATAAAAAACGTAAAGTAAAACAATCTGAAAGACGAGAAGTACATGCTAAAAAATCTGCGAAACAAGAGGCGCTCTTGGCAGAAAAAGAAAGGAGGGAGAGAAAAGAATATTTTAGAAAGGAAGGCCTAGCACAAAAAAGGGTCAATAATTCTTCAGATGAACATAAATCTAAAAAAGCCAAAATCTAATTAGCTTTATTTTCTGATTAATTGTTTATTTCATGAAAAAATAATAACACGTAGAAATCAGAATTGTAGGTTCTGTTACTTCATTTAGAACTTATGGGATGGCATAATATAATTAAACTATCGGAATATTTTGGACCTTTGCTTCAATTTTTTTTTTAATTTTATGTTGGATTTTCTAATCATGTTACTTAGCCAATTTAATAAAAAATGGATGATTTTTTGTTTTTAAGTACTTTTTATTTTTGTAATTTTTTTAAAACATTAAGTTTACAAAAAAAAGCAAATAGTATAAAAAGTTTTTGAATAATTGTTTTTTTTGTTTTTTTAAAATATTAAAAATAAAGTTGTTTTTAATTTTATTAAAGTTTTACAAAAAAAAACGGCTGTTTTTAAATTATATATAACAATAACAACACTTTTTCTAATGATTATTTGGTGGCTACTGCCTTTATTGTAATTTTAATTATTATTACATAACTTGTACAAGGTGAATGTGCAACTAGTTATATATACAGTTTTTGGTTATCTATTTAAGTAGTTTGTCACAGGTTTTATATTAGCTGTGATATCTGTAATCTGCTAAAAGATTACTTAATTAAACACTCTAATTCTTATATTATACTTAACAGATAGTATACAAGTTCTTGTATATCTAAGTGTTATCTAACTTAATCTTGACCTTCCTGTTTGTACATATATTAAGTCAATATATATTTTAGAATATGTTATTTGACTGTAAGACTTCAGAAAGCTTTCTTGCTAATTAACTACTTATATTTAATCTTTGTTAATAGGACTTGTTTTTACAAAGTTTATTTAGATTTTAATATTAATTTCACAACATATTTCTAGTATTTATAATATATCTTTGCTTTTGTTATCAGACTTTTAATTCAAATAGTTTAAAAGAACTATAACTTGTTTTTGATATATCAAAATTATGAAATTTGATTTTTTTTTTACTAGTTTAAAACTTCTAGTAGTCTGGTTAATGATACCTCTTATCTGATATTCTTGTTTATCTGATTTTTTTACATTGATATCTTTTTTTTAGATTTAGCTTTTATAATAATACTGTTTAAGATTCATGTTATTTCTTTATTTGGATTTTTCTATGTGAGTTTTAGTTTTTTAGTTTTATAGATTTATATAGTTATAAGAACTTATCTTAAGTTTGTACTATTTAGTAGTAGTTTGTATTATTTTGTATAACTAGATATACAGATGTTTATAACTTATTAATTATATTGGTGCGATCATAGTTACAGATATTCTATTACAACTAATTGACAAAATGTTATTACTATAATACTGTTTATATATTATATAAATAATTATTTAAATTTTTATTATTAATGAGTTTTGAACTCATAATTTATTATATGAAGTTAATAACTTATTATTTTATTATATTATTACATCTTTCCAAATTTTTTAAAAAATTAAATTATAAAAAAACATAGTTAATACATATATTAAACTTTATAAAATTTTTTTTAAAACTATTTTTCATATTTTTTGCTAATTATTTTTTTTTTAAATATTAATGATAAGGCTATGCCTTTAACTTTATTGAAATTCAATTGAAATTTTTACAAAAAAAAGCTTGCTTTTAAATTACATATGAAAAATAAAGACTTAGACATATAATCTGTGACCTAAATCTACAAGAGTGGCCAAGGCTCATCTAGATTTGGGTTTGAGTAATAATATAAGAGAACTAATTCTTTTTTTCAAAAATGAATAAAATAAAAATAATAATAATAAACAAGAATCAACTTAGAAGACCTATTTTGATACTAAAAAAAAAGAAAAACAAAAAATAATATAAAGTTTGCTAAAAGTTTTTTTTTTTAATTAAAATATAAAGTATAAAAAAATAATATAATTCTTTTTTTAAAAATTTTTTAAAAATTTTAAGAATTTGTTGAAGTTTTAGTATAGTTGGTCAAATTAAGTTATATAAAATATACAAATAATAAATTAATTAAATAATAGATCATATTTCTTTTTGAGTAATTAAATAAAAGATTAAAATAAGAAATAGTTATATAACTAAAATAACAATAAAATCAATTATTTTCAATAACACTTTTTCTACTGATCCTATTTTATAAATTTAGTCAAAACACAAAATCATAAATAACTCAACAAACAGCATAGAAAACATATAAAAAAGCATTAAAGAAAAAAAAGCAGACAAGCAAAATATATAAATAGAACACAAAGTTGCAATAAAAGTAGAAAACCAGAAGACACATCAGCATTTCTGTTGAAAAATAAAGGAAATTTAAAAAAATTAGAATTTTTTAGGAAACTACAACTGATCTGAAAAAGAACAAACAACAATATGTGACCACTCATCTGAGTAAATAACAAGTAAACAAACATAACATATATAAATTTGAAAATAAACATGTACAATAAAATAAACAAAGAAACAGATAATAAAACTAAATATGCAAAGTAGACTAGAACAAGATCTGAGACATATAGAAGGTATATAAACACAGAGTTTACTCAGATATATTAACAATTATAGAACAAAAGTAATAAGATATATAGATAACAAAGAAATTATCAAAGTTTTAGATATAACAAAAATAGCAAGCCCAGATGATATAAAGTTAATAGCAAAAAGCTTAGTAGTAAAAGATATAAACAGAATTACAATATATGACCTGCTTTTATATAGTCAAATAATAACAGCATTTAGAAAGTGAATAGTATAGAATTACAAAACAAAAATATAGAAGAATGTGTTAGAAAAATCCAGAAACATGAGCATGAATTCAAAATTAGTTGAATTTCTTTTAAATATGAATTCAAAAAAGAATATTAAAGAAGAAAACAAGATGTAAGAAATAGAAATTATAATAAGTAATAAGAACATTAAAGCAGAAAGCAGTAAAAAAAGAAGACAATATCTAAAAGAAAAGAAGAAAAAGAAAAGAAAGAAAAAAAAAAAAAAAAACTATTAATGAAACAGAAAAACAAAAGATAAAAAAATTACAAACTAAGAGATTAGAAGAATAACTACAATATAAAAAAGAAATAGAAATCTTATTAGAACATAGTATATGAACTTTAGCAAATAGAAAATACATAACAACAGCTCATACAAAACCAAAATACTAATTAGCAATCTAGAAGAAAATACAATTCAAGAAAAACTGCAATATATAAAGACTATGCTAGAAGAAAACAAGTATATAAAGTTAGTTGAAGAAAAAATAACAAGAGGAGACAAATAGATGGAGTTAGACTTTGACTATAATAGTAGCAAAGAAGTAGCAATAAAAGAACTCTATAAAAAAAACATAACAACAGCAGAAGTTATAAAAGAAGAAAAGACAAAAACAAAACAATACATTAAAACAAAAGCATTATACAGAAGCCAAAAAGAAAAAGAAAACATCATAACAAAAATGCTTAATGAGAAGAATAAAAAGAAAAAAATAAAAAAAAAGAAAAACAGATAAATTTCTAACAATTTGGAACCTTCTAGCAAATATAAAAGAGAAAGAAGTCAAATTTATTTGCAGAAATATACAAAATGCACAAGTAGTTAAAATTAAAAGAACAAGATTCAAGGCATTAGCAATAATACAATTCACAATTTTAGAAAAAGAAAAAGCCCCATAGATATTACCATTTGGTAATAACAATCTAGTATAAGTAACATGAAGATATAAAGACTATATACAGAAAGAGAATTAAGAACAATATACTACTAAACTAATGGGTTTAGCAAGAGAAGCCTCTGAGATTCTGCTACTAAGATGCCTAAGAAACAAAGAAGCAAAAGCAGTACATATTTCTCTAAACAAAAACAAAAACCCAAGAAATACAGCAACAGTTACTTTTGCAAATAATATAGATTTAAAAAGAACTATGTATAATCAAACCAATAAGATACTATAACTATATACTTTATTAGAAGTTAAAAGAAGAAGCAGCTGCAGAATATACAAATTCTAAAAAAACAAACAAATACAAATAGAATATACAAAAACAAGAAGAAAAGAAGTTAGAACTTATAGAAGGCCAAGCAACAAGCAAGAAACCAAAGCAAGAAGAAAATACTAAAAAGAAGAATAGAAAAGATAACAAAGAAAATAACAAAAAGGCAAAAGAAGTCTAAAAGAAAATTGAGCTTCACCAAAAAATACTCCAAAACATATTAGAAAAGTTAGAAATGATAAGTAAAGGACAGGCTTAGCCTGCTTAACATTTCTAAAAATAGTCACAGTTAAAAACACAAATATAGATAAGAAGATTACAGAATTTCTGCAAAATAAAAAAGAAACATTCAAGAAGAGACAACTAAAACAATCTTTTTATTTAACAAAAATTAAAAGCAGGAAAGGTAAAAAAAAAGATGATATAATAGTGTTAAGAAATAATCAGCTTAAAGAAAAGTAGAAACTAAAAGCTAGAACTTAAAATAGCATGCTATAATATTAATGAACTTAAAACCAAGGAATGAAAGCTAAAAAACCTGACTGAGTAGATAAAAAAAAAGAAATAACAATTTTAGGTATAGTGAAGATGAATATGGTAAAAAGAAAAGGAAAGTTTCTCTTACACAGTCTAAATACACAGTATAAAGGGTTTTGAACTAGTGCAGCACAAGATAAGTAAAAAGAATCAGGTGTAAGAATATTGATAGATAAAAAATAAAAAAAGCATGTAAAAACTATAACAAGAAGCAGTAAATATATGATAAAAATATAAATATATTTTAAACAATTAGAACTAATTATAATAGGAATATATATATCACTGAATGATAAATCAATCAGCAAAAGTATATAGCAGAAAGTAGTAGAAATAATTTCAAAAAAGAAAAGACATACACAAATAATTATACTCAGAGATTTTAACTACACAATAGACAATATATTAGATAGATAACATTCACAAACAACAAATTACAAAAGGTTATCAATATTCAGCTAACTCAAAAAATAAGATTTTGCAGATACATATAAAAGTCTTCATCTAACAAAAAAAGCATATACATAGTCTAACAAAGGCACTGCAATAAGAATAGACTGTATATAGATATCAGAAGTTCTTGCATCAGGTTTGCAGAAAGCAGATATAGAAGAGGCAGAAGAACTAACAGATAGTGACCACAAAATAATAATTACAAAAATTTGGCTGGAACATGCAGTAGAAAAGAATAGCAAGACAGAGGTTAAATATAAAAACCAAACAAGATCAATATATTTATATGATAAAGCAAAACAAGAAGATTAGGAAGATTATGCAATAGAACTACAGAGCCAGCTAGAATGAAAAAAAGCAATAAAACAACTGTTAAAAAATAACCTCAACTAGGGTTCAGAATGGGCCAGGCCAAACCTAAAAATTCACAGGCTAGGCTGGGTTTGGGCCTGGTTTGGGCTCTTATTTTTAGATGCAACATTTTATAGGCCAGGTTTTGGTTAGACCTGCTAATTACTAGGCTGGGCCTGGTTTTTTGAGCAAGCCCAGGGTGGCCCAATCAAACCCAGCAAACCTCTATTAAAATGCCAAAAAAAATTAAAATGTTGCATTTTTTTTTTTTTTACAAGTAATATAAGACCAGAATAAGTACCTGTAATACTTGTAATACTGATATTAATCTTTTTGTAGCAATAATTGAGGTTCATATGATGGAATATGGTAATTGGTAGTGTGTCATTATAGTGGTTAAATCAGTAAACTTTATGCATGCAGAGTTAATTATAATTTATATATAATAATGTATAAAGTGTTATAAACTTGTAATATTAGATAGTACAGCATATTGATAGAAAAAAGAGAGTTAGTAAACCCATGGTTTTTCTTTTCTCATTAGCAAATAAAGTAATAAAGCACAAATTTCATAATTCAAGTGGTAAAGATAAATAGTAAAGTGCCACCAAGTGAAGGTAGTGAAACAGGTTTTGCCTACACTGCAAGATTTCAAAACAAGTTTCTGCCCCTTGTTTGCTCAATAACAATATTATATATCAGGTATGTTGCAGTAGATACTTACTTTATATAAAAGATGCATGTAATACAATATTACAAATGTGCAAAAAATCTAAAACCTTATTCTCCCTATATAGAAAATAAAATGCAAAACTATATACATATATACATATGTATTAGCAAATATTCATATATATGCTATGTACTAAAACTTAATAAAATTCTTTTTTTTTTGATTGCTTATCAAGAATCTGCTAAGGTGAGATGCTAAAAATTTGATGTTTGTTCTTTTGATTGACTAATTAACATAGAATTAGGATTAATATTAATTTAAAATAATTTTTTTAAATTACATTATTTGGTGTTTGAATAATAGTTTGGTGATATTTATAGAAAATAGATTATAGTATGTTAATTGTTAACATGCTAAAGAAGCTATGTATCATGTATTCTAAATAAGATATTTTATATTTATTTTCAATTAGTGAAAGTGAAAGCCCTAAAATAACTGTTGATAATGAAAGCTTTGAAATAACTGAAGATCCTGAAATAACTATCATAAATAAAAATTTGGAAATAAGTACTATAAATGAAAATTCAGAAATAACTATTGTAAATAAAAATTTTGAAAAAACTGTTATAAATAAAAGTACACAAACAGCTACTTCTGTTAACAACAAATGCAAAAGAACAACTTGATTTTATGAGTCTTTGAAGAGGATCATTTTGTTAAAGATAATACTTAAAAAAGTAAAATTTTTATTAAATATAGTATAATTAAATCTATAAACTAGTTAATATTTTTTTTTGTATAATTTACTAGTGGATTATGCCAGATGTATGTATTGTAACACTTTTCTGAAACATAATAATGATATAGAAACTAGTTTTTTGATTTGTCATATGAAAAAAACAAAGTGTAAAAAATACTTAAAGGTTGATGAATCACAACAAACATTAAAATTATCAGTATTGAGTCTTAAAATTCGTAAATTTTCTCAAGAACAAAGACATAATGATTTTGCACAAATGATTTTTAGGCATGATTATCTATTTAGTATAGCTGAACATAAGAGGTTTCTAATATTTATTAGTAATTTGTAGCTGCATTTTAAGATGGTGAGTGAGAAGACAGTACATGAAGATTGTATAAATGTTGTTGAAGAGTTTAAAGTAAAAGTTTGTGTTATGTTACAAGAAGCACCTGAATGTCTAAGCTATACAACAGATTTATGAACATCTAACCAGACCCTCAGATACATGGCTATAACATGCCATTTCATTAACAAAAATTAAAAGCTTCAAAATCTGGTTTTAGCCTTCAAATTGGTCCTTGCATCGCATACAGGAATTGCTATAAGTGAAACTTTTTTTAAATATTTTGATGAGTGGAATGTTATAACAAAAACCTTAGCAATTACTATAGATAATATGATGAACAATAATATCACAATAGTTGATTTAAAAGTCAAACTCGAAGAACAAAGTGCTCTTGTTGCCAATGGAAGTCTATTACATCAACATTGTTATGCTCATATATTAAATCTCATAGTCTGCAATGGTCTTAAGAAAATTAAAAATATTATAAGTAAGGTTAGAGAATGTGTAAAGTGGATAAGTAGCTCACAAGCTTGACAACAAAACTTTGAATATGCTGTATTTGGAAGCTGTAATGACCTTGTATCTAAACTATGACTGACCCTTGATGTGCCAATCAGATGGAACTCTGTATATCTAATGCTAACTTCTACTATTCCATATATAAGTCTATTCGAATGTCTTGCATTATGAAATACTGGATTTGAGCAGATTATGCCTTGTGATGAAGATTAGAAAAAGGTCAAAATTGTTTGTGATTTTTTGATGTCATTTTATGAGGGTAATTGTAAAATTCTAATTTACAATAATATTTGGCTAAATCTTTCTTATTTAATATATCATATTTGAAAAAATTGTATAATTATATTTGTTAACAAAATCACCTTTTGGGACATGCTAGAAAATAGGACGAAATTGATAATTTTTTAAAAGCTTTTTTTAAGCTTAACTAATCTAAAGTTAGATGTTATCTTAATAAAAATTTACAGTATAATTCTTAAAATTCTTATTTTCTTATAATTTATTATAAAATATAAAAACTGATTTTTTGCAAACCTTTTTTGTCAATTTTGTTCTTTTTTCTAGCACCAAGCCTTATAAACTATAGTTCTGAAGAGTCATTTGGTTAACGAGGATTCTATATTTAAACCCAAATACTAACTAGTTATTTTTTAATATACAGTTACAAATATTATATCAGAAAGCAAATATTTGACTGCAAATATTTTTCTTCCTTATTTAATAAGGATTAAGATCCATCTCGAACAAAATGCTACTAATGTGGATTCTTTTATATATCAAATAGTTATACCTATGCAATCAAAATTCGACAAGTATTGGTCTGAAGTGGGAGATACATACTGTATTGCATCAATAATGGATCCTCATTACAAGATGTCATTTCTTATAATATTTATAGACAAAAAATGCATTTATCATTTATCAAAGCTGAAGACAAATTAAACTCCATTAAAATGAAGTAAGTTAAACTATACAAATTTAATTAATTTGTTCTCTAATCTGGCTGGGTCAAATTTTTTATAACTGGGTGAGTCTAAAAAAAAAATTTTTTTTAATAAATTTTATAAATTGTTGTTATAAATTAAAAAAAGCAAGCTGGGTCTATTTAAAAAGTTTTACATTATAAGAACCAATAAATTAAATTTGTGTGACCTTATCTTAGCCAATTACTATAATATTTTGTTATTTTTGAAAATTTGATAATTATTTCTATAGAGCTGCAATGATTTTTAAGTCAACCTAGATGCAAAGCATGACCACTTTTGTCAGTAATCTGAATTTGATTAATGTTACATTTCAATATAATGAAATAATGAAAGATTTTGATCTTTTTCTTATAAGCAATCAAGCTGATACAAATAAAATAGATGAACTTAAACAATATCTTGTGGATCTGCTTCTTTTTCATTCTTGTTCCAGACCATTTGATGTTTTGGTCTGGTGGAAGAAAAATATCCTAAGATATCCTTTCTTTGCATCAATGGCATGAGATATTCTAGCTATCCCAATTACTTCAGTGGCCTCTGAAGCAGTAAATAAAGTTCTAGTTATATATTAGATTATGATATAATAGAAGCTAACTAGTTATTTTTTAGACCTTTAGTGCAGCTAGAAGAATATTTGATGATGATTGATCAAACCTTGGTCCAGTGATTATTGAAATATTAATATATAGACAAAATTGGATGAGAGAAGCTGAAGAATGTAGATGAAAAAGTTAAAATTAGTAAATTGTATTTGAATTTTTTTTGAAGATTTATTTTAAGTATTCATAAGCAAATAGCCGATGATGATAGACATTAAGCCGATTTATTAGAAGAATCTGCCTGATTTCTATTAACAGCAGCCCAAATAACTAATCTTCTTGTGTATGATATTCTTTTATAGGCAACTGCTTTATAAAATTGCGAATATGAATATGTTAAACTAAATAATTAAAAGTTTTATAAATTAATATGAATCAAGAATTTTATATAAATGTTCTAGTTGAGATAAAAACACCCGAGATATTTGGGCAGGAGAATTTTTTGTTCTTTTTCTTAAGTAATCAAATTTATTTAATTCACTTGTTTTATTAAAATTTCATACTTAGATTAGCGTAATATGCGTAAAGAGATTCATTTGGCTTTATTAATGTTAATTCAAACATTAAAAGCAATTCAATTTTATGTTTTATTTTATAAAAAAAAAAAAAAAAAATTTGTAAGTATATATATATATTTAATTTAAAATTGATGTGTTTCAATTTTAATTATCGAATGTACTGATCTTTTTAATTAATTGGATATATTGATCTTTTTAGTAATTGACAAATGTACTAATCTTTTAACCATCATGTTTGTTATATTCTGGTTGAAACAAAAAGCTATGAGACTTATTCTGATAAACAAGCTATAAAAAATGAACATTCAAAATATGTGTATTGTTCTTTTATTAAAAATGTAATAGAGCATATTTATTAAATTTGTTTTTTTTTAAACATTCAGACATTAAGACCAATTTAGAAGTGATTATCTAGCTATCCTATTATAATAACTATGTGCTTGCATAATACAACCCTATTCATGAAATAAACTTGTCTTTTCTGACTTTTCATATTACTATCATCAGATGATTACTTATTATTATATAAAAATCCCTAAACCACCTTTAAGGTTACATTTTAATTTGCTATTGCATCTAACATTGAAGTGTGTGATATACTACATATGTAGTAAAATTATTTTGATATTAATTGGTTTGTTACAAAGTTTATCTTTATATTATCCAGATCTTTTTTATATATAATTACTATTTAATTCATTTAAAAAAATTTTTAAATAAATAATATATTTTTTCAATAGAAAGATTTATTGGCTTTGTAACTTTGTTCTTTGAAACTTAACCTTAATATGTGCAAAATTTGGACTTATAATAACTGGTTTTAAGGGCAATACATCTAATTAAATTTTCAGTTTTTGAAATTTGCAATTATTTAAATTTGCTTCAACATAAAGTGACAATATCTATTTTCAATATTTGAAGTATTTTTAAATTAATAAAATTTAAAAATGGTCTTAAATATTAAAAATAACTGAGTCATTATTAAAAATTAAAAACATTTAATAAAATTTTCTATATTTAATAGATTTCTTATTTTTAGATCTGTAATATCTAACTGTATAAAATTTAAGTTATTTTAATTCAAAATTTTATTTGTAAAATTAGTAAGTCTGTTTGGGTTGGTTTTGGGCCAGGCTTAATTTTAATTTAAAGCCCATCCAGGCCCATCTTTTGGGCTTTTTTTTTTTGAGGCCAGCCTGGGCTTATAAATATTTTGTAGGTCTAAGTATAGGCTCTATTCAAACCTGTCCAACCCAGCCTATTCTGAACTCTAACCTCAACACTAATTGTATAACAAACACAATAAATGATATATAAAAAGCAATAGAATATGCTATACTTGAAGCAACAAACAAATATATTTCAAAAAAGAAGGTTTTTAACACAAAAATAAACAGAAGACAAAGTCAAAGAAAACAGCAGCAGCATAAGTATATTGTAAAACTGCAATGTATAATCAAGAAGACAAAAAGAAAAAAAAAAGCAAAAGGCGGAAAAAGAAAAAAAAGAAGAAATAAACAAAAAACTTAAAGCAATAAGAATAAAAATAGAAATAGTATTACCAGAATTACACAGATAGTAGTCAGAGGCCTAAATAAAAAATATCAAAAGCTGGTAAAGAATACTTAAAAAAAGAAAAAAAGAAGAATAAGAGCAGCTACAAAGAAAGCAGATTCAAGAAAATATAAATAGAAGATTCGAAATGATTAAAACAGATTAGAGCAGGATAATTGTAAGGCTTCTTAACAAACTATACAAGAAGATAGTTCTTGACAGATTCATGATATAAGAAGAAGAAAAAAAAAAACTAATAAAAGAACTAAACGCAATTAAAGCAAACCTAGAAAAACACTATAAAAATCAGTTTCAGAAAAAAAAAACTAAGTTGAAAAAAATGTCAAAAGAATAGAAAGAGATATATGAACTAAGAACTTGGATCAATAACTCATGATATGATAAAATAGAAGAGAAAATAA